TGGCCTCTGATTAGCAACCACATAAGAATTGAGACCCCCTGTCCAACAGCACCTGAGGAACTGAACCTTGTCTATAATCACGTGAGCTTGAAAGTGAATCTTTGCCCAGTCATATCTTCAGATGAGACCTTTGCCCTGGATCACCTTGACTGCAGTTTTATTGGATTCCCTGAAGCAGAGGACCTGATGAGCTGTGTCCAGACTCCTGACCCACGGATACTATTAAATAATAAATGTAGATTGTTTTAAGTCAGTACAAACTGCGGTGATTTGTTGTCCATCAACAGATAACTAGTAAAGGAGATAAAGATAAAAGCTGGGAGAACATTTAGGTGAGAGGCACCAGTAACCTGGAATAGGGCTACTGTAGTAGGGAAGAAGATCGATTCAGAATGCAGAGCTCATAGTTTTGCTGATGTTTCAAATGTGAACTATAAGAGAAAAAGAGGAGTCCAGGCTAATGCCAAGCTTTTTAGCCAGAGCCATTCAAGTTCCTGTTCACTGACCTAAGGAAAACTAGAAGAAAAGTTTTTTTGTTTTTGTTTTGTTTTGTTTTTGTTAAGTTTATCTTATATTTGACCTTTGGGGGGGGGCGGTGAAGAGGGTACATGTTGGAAATAAAAGTTTTAGCTTAAATGTGCCAAGTTTGAGATGTTTGTTAGACATTTCCAAGTAGATGTTAAATCTAGAGTCAAAGGGAAGGCCCAGGTTGGGTACACAAATTCAGAAGTTATGCAACTCATTCTCACATTCTCCTTGGGAAATAGTAAAGAAGGAAAACCCTGGAAAGTAAAGAAGAAAGTAAAGCATGAAAATAGCTTTTTACTTAATTCCCTGAGGGTCATGGATTGAGTAAAACCAGGAGAAGCTACAGAGAAGGGCTCAGATTCCATTACTGAGAGTCTCTGGTTTCTTCTAGTTCATGAGTGGGCTGGGTGGGAAATGAAGATAAACAAATAAATGAATGGTAAAGTCAAAAATTTAGTTATAAGCCCAACATAATTCTTTCCATTCAAGAAAATATGGCCACAAAGTAATAAATTAAAAGTTTCAAGTCACCAATCAGGTGCCGTTTTGTGAGGAGGGGTTAGGAAACAGACACACAAATGGTATTAACAAAAGAAGTGTGGGGTGCCTGGGTGGCTCTGTCAGTTAAGCCTCCAACTCTTGGTTTCGTCCCAGGTGATGACTTCACAGTTGGAGTGTGAACCTTGTGTGGGGTTCTGCACTGACAGCATGTAGCCTGCTCGGGATTTTCTTTCTGCCCCCTATCCCCATCTCTCTATCTCTATCTCAAAACAAATAAATGAACTTAAAAAAACAAAACAAAACAAAAAAAACAGGTGGTATCTGAGTTGCTAAGTTTCAGTAGAAACTGTACTTTAAATTTTGAATTGGGATCATTGCCCATTCCCCGGAGGGTACAAGCCTCTCTTGTGATATTGGGCAGGGACAGCAGGGTGCAGCCCCCAGTCAGCCACCTCATCATGGGGGTAAATAACCCCTCCACTGACAACCTATCTGTCCGCATACGACCATTCTGCTTTTCACCTTCAGTACAGTATTTAACCAATGGCATAAGATATTCGACACTGTATTATAAAATAGGCTTTGTGTTAGATGATTTTGCCCAACTGTAAGCATTGTAATGTAACGTAAGTAGTAGGAGCACATTTAAGGTTGGCTAGGCTAAGCAAGCTATGGTGTTCAGCAGGTTAGGTGTATGAAGCGCATTTTCAAGGGGTGCCTGACCGGCTGAGTAGTTAGGGCATGTGCCTCTTGATTTCAGGCTTGTGAGTTCAAGCCCTGTGTTGCGCACAGAGCTTACTTTAAAAAATAAAAAGAAAGAAAGAAAGAAAAAGCATTTTCGACTTAACAGTATTTTCAACTTACTATGGCCTTATGGGGATGTAACCCCATCATAAGTCAAGGAAGATTCATTCATTTAATTTGACCAGTTCTTGAGCTAATAAGGGGATGAGCTGGGAGTGGGGGTGGGAGGCAGTAAAGTAGGAACTCATCCTAAGATAAAAGAGGCTGGAAGTCTGGTTTCAGACGGCAGTGTGAGACAGAAGTATCTGAAAGCTGGTGATACAGTCCCCTCTACGAGTTTTTATCCTAACATGTGGGTGATACTCTGACATTACTGAATAAGGCACCAACAGCTTCCCTGGAACGTGTTATATATTTCTCTGGCAGAAGTCACTAGGAGGTGGGGCGCCTGGGTGGCTCAGTCAGTTAAACATCTGACTTCGGCTCAGTCAGTTAAGCATCTGACTTCAGCTCAGGTCACGATCTCATGGTTCATGGGTTCGAGCCCCGCATTGGGCTCTGTGCTGACAGCTCGGAGCCTGGGGCCTGCTTCGGATTCTGTGTCTCCCTCCCTCTCTGTCCCTCCCCTGCTCATGCTCTCTTTCTGTCTCTCAAAAAATGAGTAAACATTAAAACAAAAAAGAAAGAAGTCACTAGGAGGTGAGGCAAGGACACATACATATGAAATCATTCCAGGACAATTTGTGAAATGTGCTCTCTGTTTTGCGAAGCAATATTGCACAATAATTAGCATATTAACAAGGTGTCTACAGTTTCCATGTCACTTTAAAGGAATGCTGCCTGGTCCTCTATCACTCAGAGCATTTCAATGTTTTTGTTTACTTTCACCCGTATTCCTGAGGCACCTCACATACAAACAACTTCAGGAATATCTAATGGGCATATATTAGTTCATTTAATTCTTATAATAACTCCACTAAGCAAGATCTATTTTTTAATAGATGAAATTGAGGTACAAAGAGGTTAAGTAAACTGGGATTAAACAATTAGCAAGTGCTACTACTGAAACGTTCAACCGAGGAGATCTGACTCCATTGTTCTCACTACAATATTGCAATGGACTGAATGTTTGGGTCCTCCCAAATCCCCATGTTGAAGCCTTAACCCCAAATGTCACGGTATTAGGAGATAAAGCCTTTGGGAGCTAACTGGTCTTTGATGAGATCATGGAGGTGGAGCTTCTAGGATCAGTGTCCCTTATAAGAAGGGGAAGAGACCCTAGAGCTTGCTCTCTCTGCCATGAGAGGACACAGCAAGAAAGTGACATCTGCAAACCAGGAAGGGAGCCCTTAGCAGAACTCAACCCTGATGGCACCAGCTTGGACTCCCAGTTTCCAGAACTGGGAGAAATAAATTCCCGTTAAGCCACCCAGTCTATGGCATTTTGTTACAGCACCCAAGCAGATGAAACCAATTATACTCTACTACTTCTGAAGGTCAGCTGGGCAGTTGTTTGAAATTAAGTTCTATCAAAAATTATTGTGTCCACGGCACCAGCTCCCAACACTTTTTGGTATATAGGGAAAACCAAATGAAAATTACTACTTAGGATAATCTTAAAAGAGAAAAACCATCCTAAATGGATACAGTGCAATTGAGGACTTTGGTTTGTTGTGGGCAAAGAAACTGATATTGATGGTCCTTATCTACAGAAGGTATATTTTTCTTATACTATTTGGAACTATCTATTGTGTCACTCAAGGTCCTATCAAGAAATTAGGCTAAGTTGAGGGAGGTATAGTAAAACATCATTTACCCTAATGTGCAGCACCCTGAGATTTTTACCAGTCCTAGGCATCCTAAAATGAGGAGATGGCATGATTAATGGAACTCAGAAGAGAGTTAGACCTTGTGAGAAGCTGTGACTTTCAGTAGAGAAACCCAACCATCCAGAGGGGAACCTGCAAGAAGGGGTGTACTCCATGCCGATCAGCATCCCCAGGATGGGGTTGGGGTTTGCAGGTGAGGGATGGGTAGATAGCAGACACATCTTTTTTTCCCCTTTAGTTTGCCTGTCAGAGGCCCTACCAAGTTTAAAATGTGTGTCCCAGTCCTACAGAATAAAGGGGCTACACTCAACCTAATACGTACACAACTCCCCCTTTCCCAGTGAAGGTTCAACATGTCTAGAGTTGACTTTAGGTCAAGATATTTCTAATGGCAGTGGAAATAGGAAAAGTAGCAGGCAGAGACAGTGCTAACCTGGCTTGATCTTTGGCCACTACAGATTTCAGGCTCCACGCAAACCCTGCAAATGTCAAAGAAGTAGTAAGGACTATGAAGAGAGGGGGTTCTAGGTCCAATGACTTGAGTGCAAGCCATCCCTGTGACAAGTATTATCTTTGTGATCACTGGTCAAGTTGCTTAATCTCTTTGTCAGTTTCTTTACCTATAAAATGAGCATAATTTTAGTCCTTACTTATAAAATTATTGGGAGAATGAAAAAATATGTATGTGAAACAACATATGCAGAGAGCCACAGTGCTTTCTGATAAGCTCCCAGAGACATAAGAACAAAAGCACTTAGTTAAACCTGCATTAGAATTCCAGAAAAAGGAGGGGCACCTGAGTGGCCCAGTGGGTTAAGCACCTGGCTCTCAGTTTCAGCTCAGGTCATGATCTCATGGTTAAGAGATGATTTCGCAGTTTTGTGAGTTCGAGCTCCTCATTGGGCTCTGTGCTAACAGTGCAGTGTCTGCTTGGGATTCTCTCCCCCCTCCTTTCCCTTTCTCTCTGCCCTCCCTTGCTCATGTTGTCTTTGTCTCTCTCACTTGATCTTAGCCAAAAGGCCAAGAAGTAATGTCTTTGTCCCAAAATAAATAAATAAATTTAAAAGAAAGAAGGAAAGAGAAAAAGGCACGAACATATATTGAGAGTCCGCTATGCTTCAAGCATTACTAAATGTTTAACATATACTATCTCACTCAATTCTTTGAACACCAGCTATCAAATAGGTGTTGATATTACTATTTTACAGTAAGAAAACTGAGGCTCAGAGACATCAAACAATTTGCTCTAGATCACACATCTTATAAGCAGGAAGGTCAGGATTTATACTAAAGCAATATGAATCTCAACCCAATGTATTTTGTTTGTCCCCCACCCCCACCCCCACCACATCACCAATCCTGCCTAGCGCTGCATCAGGAGTACAGAAAAATCGCATCTCTCATTTCAGAGTTCTCCTGGGCATGAAGAAGAAGACGGCCACCACCTGCCTCTGTGTCTCTGTGTGGTACCAAGAAAAAACCCTGGAAGCCCCAGAGCCCTCTGCTAGGTAGCAGCCAGGGCTGTGGCATCTCTGCCCAAGCTTCTCCCTGCTGGATTCAATATGAAAGGGTGTTCTGTCTCGAGTTTCAAAGTCCAACACCACCAACACTCCTTCTCATGTGGCAGCAAAAGTACAACAGGGATCTCTGCCTTCCCACCTCAGTGCAATGAAGCCCCACACCGCAGAGCTTAGGAACCCATGGGAAACCCATCATCACCATGCTTCACCAAATGCCATTTGTTTCCAGAAAGGAAGCGAAGTAAACAGCGCTTTGATTTGTTGCTTCTCAACTTCTAAAGAAATCTAGCCTGAGAATCTAGTTCAGGTGGGTCTAACACACCCAGAGTGGATGGGTGGTAGATCAGGAGGGTAAACATTTGGTTTTATTTTGGTTTGGTGAATGTGAGTTCCTCCAGAGGAATGAGGCATGAGTTCTATAAAGGAGGGCCATTTTGCTAAGTGCAATAGTGACATGTTGTGTTAGGGAACTCAGAGCAGAAGCATCAGTCAATAATGGTGCTATTGGCTAGGCAGTGTGGCACCTTTAGGCATGCCCAGAACCAATATCGACCAGGTTACATCCTTATACGCATCAGATTTTAGTCAGGCATAACTATTATTTGCCCTTACGTCCATGTATGAAGAGTTTGGGCCAGCCCATTTTCATAGCTTTTCCTCTCCCACAGGGATGTGAAATTTTCTGATTGCTTTCCTCAGTTTTCGAATGGTAGTGAGTGGGCTCAGCAAAATCGAGAAGCTCATGGATATAAGGACTCTATCTGGCCCTCACCATGGAATTCATCACGTGTGGCATAAAGGATATAATCAATAAACTTTTGTTAAATGAGCAAGCTAATCACCCCTGTGACCTCACTTCTCATCCAAACTGACAGGTTACTAAGGGCTTTACATTTGGTTCCAGACTAGCTTGTGTGGTAGATATAAATAGTCCCCAAACATATCAATGATTTAAAACAACAAAGGCTTCATGGGTATTGAGGAGGGCACCTTTTGGGATGAGCACTGGGTGTCGTACGGAAACCAATTTGACAATAAATTTCATATATTGAAAAAATAAAAAAAAATAAAACAACAAAGTCTTATTTCAGATGAGCTGGGGGCTCAGCACCATACTACCCTCACTTAAGGACCCCAGTGAATGGGGAGGCTACCATCTGGAATGCTGATGTTACTTGGAAGCAGACAATGAGACTGTGAATCTAACAATGGCTCTTTTTTAAATAGATTTTTATTTTATTTCTTTAATGTTTACTTACTTTTGAGAGACAGAGACAGAGCATGAGCAGGGGAGGGGCAGAGAGAAAGAGAGAGACAGAATCTGAAGCAGGCTCCAGGTTCTGAGCTGTCAGCCCAGAGCCCAATGCAGGGCTTGAACTCACCAGCCACGAGATCATGACCTGAGCCGAAGTTGGACGCTTAACTGACTGAGCCACCCAGGTGCCCCAACAATGGCTCTTAAAGACTTCTCCCAGAAGCAACAAATGCCAGTTATACTCATATTTCATTGGCTAAAGTCAGTCACTCGCACTCTAAAAGAGATGAGAAAGTTCAGTCTTCCCTACAAGGAGAAGAGAATGACAATATTTATAATGTCTCTATGACTGTCATCTGAGTGTTAGTTCATTTAAACCTTTTCAGCCAGAATACAGACACTATTTTTGTCCCACTTTAAGGATCCCACTGAGGATCTTGAGGCTTAGCATGATTAACTGAGTTGATCAAGGAAATCAGACAGTTGAACTCAACTTCAATCATTTAACCAACCTGTTGAATGTTACTATTATCTGGCAAGTTCTATATGGAGTGACAGTGAAGTCACAAGGGTGTGTGTCTAGGACAGAGTCTGTGCTTGAAATCACTATGAAAGCCTCATAGATCTGTGCCCGTGCAGGCGGTGCCTCTGCTCTCTGATTTATCCTCTCTCTTTACTGGAAGAACTTACTATTCCTTGAGCAGGGTGATAGCTGCTTATTTAAGGCGTCACATGCCGGCCAGCATCTCGTCCATGGCTATTTTTAAAAGCTAACCAACAACAGCAAATTTCCTTATTTGCCGATGGTAGATAATACTCATGGAAATTATTATGAAATTCATATTTACAACACAATTATTATTTCCATAACAAATTCTAGTAGCTCAGACATCAGAAGATTGCAAATTCAATCTGTGGCTCACATTTTTCTTTCCACATAGACAAAGAAAAATATTTCCCAAATGCTGAGATTAGGATGTGGACTTAGCTTGTTGAGGATAAAACATCAGTTGGCTAGTGACCTACAGACAGTTTCTGTGAAATAAAATGAGCTCACTAAAAATAAATCATTGGTCTAAAGTACTGTCACAAAACTTGGACATGATCAGAGGACACTATCAAGTGACTCTTTAGGTAATTTACCAGAGTGGGCATAATGGCCATAAAAACACTCTTGCCAGCTCGCGTAAATAAAGGAATTTATCATAAGGACCTGAGTGGCTCAAAAAATCAAAAGAAAAGCAAATTACCATACCTCTGGAAGGAATGGAAACAGCACAGCTCTGGGGATCAGGTGAACCACCATCAGAATTCATCAGTTCAGGGGTGCCTGGGTGGCTCAGTTGGTTAAGGGTCTGACTCTTGGTTTCGGCCTGAACTCATGGTTCGTGGGTTCGAGCCCCACATTGGGCTCTGGGCCGGCAGTGCGGAGCCTACTTAGGATTCTCTCTCTCTCCCTCTCTCTCTGCTCCTACCCCACTTGCACTGTCTCTGTCCCTCTCAAAATAAATAAACTTAAAAATTAAAAAAAAAAAAGAATTCATCAGTTCAAACATCCTTCTCCTGAAGGGTAGTCTCTGTCCTGCACATTCTGATTCCCAGGGTCCCGAAGAAAGCTTCAGAAAGGCATAGCACGGGTTATATGCTTACTGTTAACAGTGTCTGGCAGATGTTAGCAGCTCAATAAATTGTTGTTGAGTGAGTGAATAAATGAATGACCAAGTTCTCTGGGCCTGCAAGAAATAACACCATCCTTAATTATCCAACCCAGTAATTTCTAGATGTCACTTTATGGTAGCTTAGGGTTTTATTAATGCCATTAAAAGGGACTCTGGCATTCTCAACGCTAAGATAATTACTTAATTAAAATATGGCCCCAACATTTGTAATACCATGGTCCCCAAACAAAATCCCGCTTTGTATCTCAGGTTCTTAATGTTCTATCTATCAAACAAAACACCTTTATTTACAATCATTCATGTTTTTTCATTTTTTAAAATCAGACGTACTATTAACTTCAAGTCTGAGCCTCTGAGCAGCCTGAAATAATAGCTGGCACTGTTTGAACAAATACTTTATGCTAGTCTATCAGCAAATACTTTATCAGTTTTAGTCTTATATGTAATATATAATTTAGCCCCCAAATGACTGCAAGTATTATTGTTATATTCATTGTAAAATGAGTAAACTAAGGCATAGAGTGGCTACTTAATTTGATGCAGGTCACACAGCAGAGCAGAAATTTGAATCCAGGGAGTTGATCTCTTAGCCCTTATCCCATGCCAATTCCCAGGACTGCCACTCTGGTTAGGTGTCATGGGAGTCAGATGCAAGAAAGTGGCTATGCAAGTTTTGCTTTTCTTTCTATTTCTTTTCATTTTTTTTCTTTTGGTTTCTTTTGCCTTTTTTGTTTTCTTTGAGGATACATTCGATTTGAAGAGACTAATAATTCAAACCAGACCTCTACATCAGAATAATTCAAAGAAGTATTTCCAGGGATGTTCGCCAAGTGTAGCCCTAGAGATTCTGATTTGCTGTGCCAGGGCAAGTAGACACCTATGTGTACGTAAAAGCTGCTTATGTAACTTGACACAGACTCCTGAGGAACAGCCGCTGCACCAGGGTTCGTTAGATGCCCAAAGAAGTGCAGAAATGACATCGTTACCTCCAATGACCTGGAGGAATCTAGGAAATCTAAGTGATGTTAGAAAGTTGATAAACAGGGGCACCTGGGTGGCTTAGTCGGTTAAGTGTCTCTTGATTTCGGCTCAGCGTGATCTCATGGTTCCTGGGATTGAGCCCCTCGGTGCTGTTGGGATTCTCTCTCTCTCTCTCTCTCTCTCTCTCTCTCTCTCTCTCTCTGTCAAAGTAAATAAATAAACTGAAAAAAAAAGCTGACTAACAAAAAGCATACCACAACTCCAAAACGATTGTGAATCCAGTCTAGGTGGGAAGAAAACTTTACAGCAGAAATGTGGTACAGTACACTATGGTATACAGCATACCGCTATGAAATTAGAAACGTTTAAAGAGGAGGCAACTGCCAATGGTCCTGTGTGGCCCCTTTTCCCGTGTTAGGGCATGCCTTTGTATTCATGAGAGGATAGGGTGGAGTGGAGCAAAATAATAAAACTCCAGATGAAAAAAACACTGAAAGTATATTGTGGTTAGAGTCAAATAGCCTCAGTCATTTAAAAATGGAGCCATCTCCTGCAAGAAAGAGCAGTGGGAAATAACTCCATACCTTTTATTCATTTCTAATGCTTTGCAGTCTCCAGGCAAGCTCTCGCTATTCTGCACAAGGGTTTAACGGACTTAAAAAGAAATGCGAGGAGTCATTTCAAAGGATCAGTGTGCTACAACGTGCTCATACTAATTTTGAAGTCTCTCTGCATTACTTCATATGAATTATTTAAAATAATTCACCCCCCCTTTAACACGATGACTCATGTCTCTGTCAGTCTCTATGTGGTATTCTTTTTTGTTGTTGCTATAGTCAGAAGACAACTTTTTGGCTTTCTGCTTTGTTTGTACTTGTGAGAAAGGCAAAGGAAGTTTTTCAAACATGTTAATGGCTGCTTGTTTACATAGTCAATTTTTTCAAATAGACTAATTTCATGCCCTCTTCCTTGTTGTGAGTTTCCATGTGTAATAAACAGACACTAAGTACTTTATTAGGATGTACCGAATTTTTTCCATAGCCCTGGGGCCATCTTACACTCTGTTTTTTTCATTAGAACTTCACACATGGTGTTTTCCATAAACTCTTACTTCCTAGGATCTGGTCTTTTTCCATTTAACTCAGGTTTGTCCCTGATTTGCTTTTAGATTATATAACTGTTGCCAAATAAGACATGGTTTTGTAAAACCATCACCACCTCTCCTGATGTTGAATTAACATTTTAGTTTACCCACCCAGGAGAAATATCAACAGTTACCCGTTTGAGTGACAAAATTAAAAATTTTTTCATCCAGTCTTGGACTGGAAAGAATAACCTATTTTACTATTCACTTGCCTGACCTGACATTGATTTTCCATTCCCATGACAATGATCCTACAATCAACAAATATCAGTTGAATGCCTATAATTCAGAAAGCAAAGGATTGTGCCAGAACCTATGAGATCCATTAATAACTCCCCACACCTTCTTTTCCTGTTTTGAAGATGATGTTGAAGGCTGACCCAGCAACCACACCGTTTATCACCTCCCTGCTTCACACATACACCTCCTAGCGAACAGAATCTGCCATGTCATATGGAGACTGCAAATGACAGGTATATATATTATATATATATGTATATATATTATATATGTGTGTATATATATAAAATATATTTAAATTATATAAATATATACTTATATTTATATACAGGTATATATATGTATATATATATATATATTTTTTTTTTTTTTCCAGCTTTCCTTGCATTTGGAGCACGAACATGCAGCCTGCCATGACCACTGGGATCCGAAGGGAACTCTACTGAGACAGGGGTGAGAAATGGAGGAAGCAAGGCAAGAAGAGCATAGTTCTTCTCTTTAATAAAAAGGATTTGGAGAACAGTTGTCCCTTTCAGCCTTTTTATGTACAATTGCTTAAAATACTATGCCAAATGACTTGGCTGCCATCTTGCAATCATGAGGGCAGAAAGCTCAAGAACAAAACCCAATATTCTGAAGAAGATGGAAAGAAGGTGGAAGATCTTGAGACTTCAATGATTTTTTTTTTTTAATATGGAAGGCTTCATGAATTTGTGTGTCATCCTTGTACAGGGGCCATGCTAATCTCTGTATCATTCCAATTTTGATATCTGCGCTGCTGAAGCAAGCACTTCAATGACATTTTAAGCCATTGAACTAAACCCTTGCCTCTGTATTTTATATTATGTGGAATAACTATTGTACTTCTTATCAAATCCATCTTTAATTGGGTAGTCTATTTTGCAACTGAAGGCTAATATATAAGGTGATCAGCCAACTAATAGACCTCCTTATTATTATTCTTCCTTCAAAACTCAACTGAGACATTAATGCCCTCCAAAACTTCCCTCAAAAGCGTCTTTGACAACCGCCCCCCTGGCACTCCCCCCACCATCCTCTTCCAAGTGGAACAAAGCAAATTTTAGTTTCGATTCCCGTTACCCTGGCATACAGACACTTATTTTCCTACAAACAACTTAGGTTCTCAAAGCCACCTCTCATCTAATAGCCCTCAAATCCAATGCAATAGTGTCTAGTTGATACGACCACTTGCCCCAACTGTGGGTGGCGGGCGAGTTAAGTTCCTTTACTAAGAGGGGGACTTTGCTCACACCTGGAAGGGCAATAATAGTAGTTTAAAGTTCAGAAACAGAGGAAATTCTATGCTGCATTATATTTAAGTCATCAGTGTCCCAGTCTCTTCCTCAAGGTCCTAAATATCTTAAATGAATGTATTGTGCCTTTTTTCTTTCTTTCATCTCAATTCCTCCAGTGCCCTGCAGATAGGTTAGGAGCCTAGCACAGTAGCTCCTCAATAACTCTGTTAAAACGGACCAATAATTAAAGAACTTAAACGTTAAAGCTCAGTAACACTTTACAGATCCTCTAATGTAAACTCTTAATTTTACAGGTACTGAGATCTGGAGAGTTTACACAACTTCTCCAGTATGTAAAGTAGGAGCAAAGCCAGAACTACCACTGAGGCCTACAGTCTCTTAATCCAGCGTTCTTTCTATTCTACCAGAAGCTGGATACGTTTGTAATCTAGATGAACAGAAAGGATACCTGCGAAAATGTAACTACAAGTGCATACAGAGACAGTAAGTGCCGTCCGTTGTTTCCAGAGGGGAAAAAATATTTTGGACTCTGATGGTCAAGATTGGCTATTATATCTGTCAGGTAGCACAGTAGTCTGGATTCTTGAATTTATTGCCTTCACTCTTCCGACATCAGCTTGGAGAGGGCCTCTCTGGCTTCCCAGTCTAAATTTGGAAAGCACCCCATATTTTCTCTCCAAGCACCTTTAACATTTTCACTTCTCTCAACTCCCCACCTCACATTTATTTATGTCTTTGTTTGTTTCTTTCACTTGAATCTCCTCCAGAAGGGTAAAGGCCATGTCTACTTTATTCCCCACTGTATATTCAGTGCCTCACACAGCTACTGATACATAAAGACTCTCACTATCTAATTGGTCATTAATTTATTCAACAACATTCCATGAGATGGGAGTACAAAGATGAACAAGGCAGACAAATGTCCTGCCCTCTTAGAGCTTATATTCTGCTGGAGGAAGGTAGAAAATAAGCAATATAACATAAGCACAATACTGCATATGACATCAACTTGATGCACTGTCATTTTTATGTCTAAACAAAGAAAAAGACATTACAAACTTTGCCATGCTATTGATGTTTCGATGAATAACTTTAAAGATACAAAAACACGAATAAAGGGGAATCTTAGAAATGATGAATATAGTATATTATATATTATATGAAGACAAATGCGACAGTGAAAATTAAAAGCAGGCATGGTGTGTCGAGAGAGTTCCCTGAAGTCATGAGTGAATTAGATGGGAATGAGATAGAGAGATAGTGGGATATCAAAGGAGCAGGTAGTCGTAGAGAATTGATACATGAATTAGGAACCAATTTTGTATTTACATGGTATGTAGTAACTTTAGTGGCAGCTATATCTTAACCCCAGTCCTTCCAATCATTTGTTGTAAGGGCTTGAGCAAGTTTTTGAGCCAAGGTTTCCTAATTTGGAAAATGGGTATTATAAAATGTGATATTTGAGATGAAGTATGTAAAAGACATTGAATTTAAGGGATACTTAATAAGTTGTAGTGTTTATTACTTTTATCATTTTATTCAGTAACTCCTGAATTGAATTCTAGTTGATTTCCTGCTTATTTGTTTGTTTACTTGTTTGCTTGTTTGAACTGTTAGACCCTCTCCTAGACTTGCAGTGCTGGGCTATTTCCCCCCTCAATAAACACTGTGTTTGTATTTTGCACCTTCTGTTTCAACTTGTCACTTATCTGTCTTCCCTACTAGATTACAAATTCCTTGAACGTGTGAACCCTGATCTACTCATATCTGTGATATTTGGAGTACAGTACTTGGCACCTAGAAGGTCCTTATAATGTTTCTTGACTGAATGTAAGAACAAATGTGTTGGGTAATGGGCCTTCCAGGCAAAGGGAAAGTTTTCAATAAAGCCCTGGTGATGAATGCACTGGGCATCCATCCATCGCTCAACAAAACTTCTTTTGAGTGTTAACTGGCAATAATTTCAGAGAATACTGCTCTTTGGAACACATAGGAATATCCCATGGAACGAATAGGTCAGTACCCTATCAGAATAGGGCTTTACCCATCACACTAGTTAATCTCAGTTACTCCTTTCAGCTTGATTTAGATGACCCATTCTAGCAGTATCTTCTCATGGTAAGCTGTTAACTTTATAAGGTTCTAAAGAGATTGCAAATGTTTCTCAACATTTTTGTGTGTGTGCCAGGATTTACACCCGCCCCGTGGGAGGGTTGCCTTTTCGATATTGCAAAACAACAGGGCAATGACTGGTTTCCCTGTGTCATTTAGACAAGTATGCCCTGGACAGCATGAGCTCAGCTGTAGGCCCATAAGCTGACATGTCAACCTGCAAAGCCACTTCTTTGAAAATGATTTAACTTTTTCATTTCTTAAGAACTGAGTAGGGCTTTAGAAAATGTCCAAAACCAAACTCCCCATTGAAATTTTGAGGTCTCTAAGCAAAAATAACCTCATTCTGGCTTCACAGGTCAAGAAACCATCAGAAAGAAACCATCTCAGCTGCCTGAGGATGGTCTTAAGTCCAGCCACCCAGGCGCCAAAGCCAACACCAGTTTGACGCAGATAGGTATTCAGCCAGAAGAGGTAGAGCTCCAGTGTCAGACTCTCTCTGCTTCTCCAGCCTAGGAGTGAAGGGAGTGCATGATGGGAAGAGAGGAATGCGGGCCAAAGACTCAACAAATTGCAACATGTCTCATAGCCAACTCAGCTGGCAGAGTCCCCTAATGCTACTAACCAGTTTGGGCACCATGCGGAGAGCCAGCTCCTGTATCAAATGAGCCACTTGTAGTCTTCCATATTGGCACCTGCCCACAGGCCTCAAATAATTAGGAAAGGAAGAATTCTAATAACAGTTGAAAATAACCTTTAGTCTACAGAAGTTTACTGTCAAATGATGGAATTGAATTAAGCAGAAATAGCTAGCAAAAGAATGTAATGTATATAAATATCAAATCATTATGTTGTACACCTGAAATGAATATAGTATTGTACATCAGTCATTCTTCAATAAAAATAACAAAAATATGATGGAGCATGAAAGCTTTGAAATAATTGAGAGTTCAAGCTCTTTATTTAATTTTTAGCCCATTACTTGCTAACTGTGCCATCTTGGACTGGCCACTGGTCCTCGGAGTGTAACTTTCCTCACCATAGAAATACAAAGCATGTTTTAACCAATCTACCTGTCGGTTATTGGGAAGATCAAATGATTAAATGATCTAATGATATTTTGCTGACTTAAGAACACAGTGCACATGTTTGATTTTGTCTTATGGCTTAAATGATAAAATGATGGGTATATTTAAAGGTACTGTGACAATATAGATATACTTTATGAATAAGAACATCATTCCTATTTAAACATTTGACCCAGTTCGAAACAAAGGCAGATTCTGTTTCCAGACAAGTAACTTTGCAAAGTGGTCCACAGGTGGTCCACGTCATCCAGTCCCTTTCCTCCTAATCCTTATCTGGGTGTGAACAGGACAATATCTTGCTTTTTGGCTTTATTTGCAACGTGGGTGACATGGCTGGGCAGATATGCGACAAATAATGGCTGCTTTCCTATTGCACTGTCTCACTCTAAGCACTAAAAGAACTGAAGTATGTAAAGTACTTTAAAAAGAATAAAGTGGTTGGGGCGCCTGGGAGGCTCCATCGGTTGAGCGTTCAACTTCAACTCAGGTCACGATCTCACGGTTCGTGAGTTTGAGCCCTGGGTCAGGGTCTGTGCCCACAGCTCAGGGCCTGGAGCCTGCTTCGGATTCTGTGTCTCCCCCTCTCTCTGCCCTCGCCTGCTCACTCTCTTTCTCTCTCAAAAATATACTTATTTATATAAAATAGCATGCTATAAATAGCATTAAAGAAAAGAATAAAGTGGCTTATAAACAGTGCCTTAAGGGGTATCTCAAAAATTTTCTGAGCCTCCACTGTTCATAAAGCAATAGTAGCACCTGGCATTCAAAATCATCCCCAATTTCCTTCAGCCCCTCTCTTCCCTGCAGTTTCAGCCCCAACGACAAGGTGCTGTCCTACCTGCGCTGCTCACCTTCTCTCTGCTGGGGCCATGCATCCCGCAGCACCAGCTCAGCCACCACCACCACTCCGACTACCACACACACAACACCCCTGCCTGTCCCTGGGTCTTCAGTAGCCTCGTGTTTCCTGCCGGGAACCATTTCCTTCTCATATCTGTCTCTCCAAAGCCTGCTAATCTTTCAGAGCCCCTCTCTTTCAGGAAGCCTTTCCGGGTGCCTCCAATCCCATTTCAAATGCATCCTTCATGCCCCCTAAACCGCTAAAGACTTCATACCACGTTCACATCACTATGCTGTCTGACCTTGTGCAGCACTTCCTTCCTGTAATTTTTTCAAAAGCATGTGTAACGGCATAAGCCAAGTTCTGATTAAAAGACCAAGTAATAAATTCCCAGAAGACAAGGAAGACACATGGACATCGGTGTTTGGTCAGTTTCCATGGTGCTCAGTGCAGGGCTGAACACACTGTAGGCA